CTCTGAAGATTGTTCTCACAATGCTGAACCTGGTAGGATGTGACCTTGGCAGTCAAATGTCCTGGAGATTTTAGGAAAAGGGAGAGATGTTGACAAGAATACTAAAGAAGATCTTTCTCTGAATTCTGACTGCAAGGTTGGGAAATATAGAATGAAGAAAATGGATCTATATTCTCATGGTTTTCTTATATTCTGGATGGATTAAAGAGTGGCCAGCACATTGGATCTGCAAATCCTCAGCTACTGGCTGTATTAGGTGGTTGGATGAAACAGGTCATTTGTGTATTAAGCCTATGGAATTTGAGATCGGGACTGAGAACTTTTGACTGCTATACTAATTGCATAATATCAAAGTGGCTGGATCCACAAGTTTCACTGTAGATTGCAAAAGACATTGCATTTTTGTATCAATGTAAGTGAAAGACATTTAGGGAAATAAAATGCTCTTTAGCAGTGAGATTGTTTCTATTTAGTGCGATTGCCTTGGAATATAATTATGGACTATGCTTCATATATGTTGAGCAGGGTTGGAATATATGGTTGTCCATCTGTGAAGCAAATATCCAATTCTATTTGAAATGGGATTGCAAGATTTACCATATTTTCAAACTGGAAGGTGACATTTAAATAATATTCACCCTTCCACTAGAAATCTAAAACTTACAGCCTAATGGTATGAAGTGAACATATTTCAATATTTCAGAAAAGGTGAATTATTGCCATCCTGAAAAATGTCAAGGTTGCATTTTTCTCTCTGTCAGATCATTGATAATATGTTCTATCCCAAATTACTTTCTTCACATTGAGCCAGAAGCTTTCATAGTGCATTAAGATATAATCAAATGGATATGTGTATGATCTATTTGGTCCAACTTTGCTGCACTTTTAACCCTTTTAGTTTCATGTGGCCAATCCATAGGGTTGATCAACTATACGTAGTTCCCATGGCACTAAAAGGGTTAATCCTCAAAGGGGTCATTAAATGTCAATAGGTTTTTCTCTCCTTTGAGGGATGATGGTGACTTCCTCTTTGAGCCCTCTGCCAGACTGACATGCAGCTCCTGGGGTTGGGGATCACATAGGAATGATTGAGAAGACCTCATCATCTTGACAGAGCAGCTGTGAAAGACATAGGTCCACCACTAATGGCCTCTGAGCCCCTTTTGAAGGTTTTGATGAGCAGGTGGCAGCACCAATTATGAGTTACCATAAAATAAGCCTTGCTGGTAGAGAAAATTTAGACTGAATAGACTATATAAGCATTCTCTCTGCATTCAGCACAAGTGGAATAATAGATTTCATGTAAATTAAGAGGCACAGAGATAATGTGACCAAAGTGCAATAATTGGGGGAATCTAGAGAAGGAAGTAATGAGGGCATGTTACATTGTCAATTAGGGAGTTATAGAAAAAGAACATTATACCCTTTCCCTGCAATGTGTCCATGGTTGTCATCTACTTCACTGGATGTGGCATTGTCTTTGGACTGTAGTTCACGATTTTGTGCCTGTGAATACTATTTGGAATAAATATCTGTATGCATTAGCAAAAATCTTCTGAATAGGGCTAGTGAATAGTGAAAATTTTGCTCTAAAATGCAACTGACTAGTGAACAAAGGTGCATTTTTCTAGAATTCTTCCTGGCGAATAAGTCAGTATTAAAGAGACTAGATGTTTCTTTTGGCACTTGAATGGTCAAACCATACCAATAAGGAGAACAATGGTTGATTTCAAAATGGCAGTTCAGTTGCAGTTTGGTTCTAGTTTCAGTTCAGACTAGAGTCTGACTGAAGTTCCACTGTGGTCTAAGCAGCTATTCACATTACAAAATCCCAACTGGAACTGTGACTGAACTAAAACTGGACTGCTGTTTTGAAATCAGTCAATATCACTGACCCAAGTTTAAAACAAAGAGTACTCTTAATTTAAACAAAAGTTCATTTTGGTGGCCCAGAACAGCAATAACACCACCCAATATTGAAGATCCTGATTTACTCTCCTGGAATATTTCCACAAATTTACACCTTTGTTCACAAGCATTTCCATTTTGAAGTAGCACTTTCAAAATTTTCATCAATAAATCTCCCTCAATTGTTTTGCACTCTCTGAAAATAAAAATTAAGTAAGTCAAAGAGTATGGGAAATGTGAACGTATGTATGTATACTTTTTATTGGTTAACCCTGTATAGTTTGTCCAAAAATTTAAAAGAGAGACATAGCTAGCATAGTATGTTAGAGGACCTACTGCTGATGTACGTACATGTAGCACCATCTCTCTAATATATTTTTGGATGAACTATGACTCTTCCTTGTGTGAGATACTACTTCCTATTAAGAATTAGAAAGGTTTTCTTCAGAGTGATTCATTCAGATGAAGCCAGCTTCGTGTGTATGTGATAGTTTTGTATTGTAGTGTTGGGCAGTGATTGAATTACAATTATTTGAAAATTTATTTTTTAAGCAAGCATTTTTTTAAATTTTACATTTAAAATTCTGTACAAATTATACATTTAATATTGATTTTTATAATGCTACAAGATAAGCATTTCATATCTGCATGTGCTGATGAAAATTCCAAATGCTTAAAGTAATTTCCACTTAGAATTAAATGTGGAAATACAAAGCAAAAATGAATTGCTAGAAGCGTTTAAAAAGCATTTTTCAAATAATTGTAATTCAATTACTGCCCAATGCTGTTATATTGCACTTCAGTAGGACAAGAACTCAACTTTTTTAAATTACAGAGTAATAAAATTATCAAGTATTTGACATTGCAAGGGTGGAAAACATCTGACAACATCAGCAATCAAATGAAATTTGTGAGAATGCCTGTCCATCAGAACCTGCTATAAGAAGTTGAGTGAAAGCTTTCAAGGATGTCTGAGATTGTGTTGAAGATAGCCCATAACAAAATTTGTGATCTTTCATACTGCATTATATTAGAAGAAATGTTGAGAAAATATAAAAAATATAGAAATAGTGCAGCATTTCTGTGGGATCTGCTCATGTGATTCTGATGGACAAATGCCACAAAAGGAAGGTTTCATTTTGGTAGGGTCCAAGGCCACTCATGGCAGACCAGATGGCTGTGAAAAGTGGATGCCTGTCAACAGCTTTTGCATCATTTTTGCCAAAAGAGGAATTCAAGGTGTCCCAATTAGCAGACAGGATATAGAGGCTTGACCAAAAAAAAAAGTTAACCACTTGAAAATGTAATGGAACATTTCCTAATAATGTTCTTTAAGAGCTCTTAAAGTATCTTGCCTACAACCACCCATGCTTGAGATATGTCTGAGTTTGTCACAATTGTCAAAATTCTGAGTGAACAGGCATGTGTTTTACAATGTATGAATTCACATTTGATTTTTCTTAAAAAATTAATTCCTATGGATGGATCATCATGAAAACTTAACTGGACATCATCAAATGTGTGCTTTCCACCATCTGAAAACATAATGCATTTGCATGAAATTTCAAGCATTCCCATGGAAACCTTATGAAATTTTCTGGTGTGGACACCTGAGTTTACCATATACTTAAAAAATCTCACACCATGCAACGAGGCAGAAAAATAGAAGAAATTACAACTTTTCAACAGGTAACATAGAGGTTGCATCTAGAAGCAAATTGTTTTATTGACCTATCATGTGATGTCATTAGATAAAGAAAATTGGGATTTTAAACGTTTTTTGGTATGCACAGGTACCAACACTGGAAAACTTCTCAGCATTTGCATGAAAATGCCTAAAATGTCATGCACATGGATGAAATTTTCAGTTGGCAAAGTACACACATCTGACAATGCCCTGTTAGGTTTTCGCAATGATCCATTCATAAGAGCTGATTTTTTAAAGCAAGAATCATATTATGACAAAATTGTGAGTGGCTTACTTTAATTTTTGGCCAACCCTGCATATTGAGTATTTTGTTATTGCAAAGGTGATTTTGTTTTGTTTTTGTTACCTGTACTATGCTGAAAGTATAGGAATGGGAATGCTTACCTAGATGTCATTTGCAAGAAGCTCTTGCCAGCAATTGCAAGAATTGTTGGAGCCAAGGAGTTGGCTGTCCATCACAATGGAAACTTGAACTGCAATTTTTCAAGAGTTCATTGAGAAAAGGGGCATCAAACTAATGCCTCATGCCCCTTATTATCTGGACCTATCCCCTAGCAATGTTTGCTTATTCCCCAGGATCAAGAATCAACTTAGTGGTACAGGATATCCAAGTTGCTTGGTTCTGGGATTAGCTGTTGATCAGTGAATGCACCCTAGAGGAGTTCTTTTGGATTAGACTTTTGAGATTAGCTGAAGCTCTTTGAAATTAGGTTATGGAAGGAGAGGAGTAATTAGTTCTGGGAGTTCTCTGCCTTTTCTCTCATGTTCTCTTTATATTTATGCTCTCTTGAAGTCTTTCCTAATGTTGTTGAATAGAAAAAGATGCTTGTGGGAAGTCATTTAAGATAATAGGATTACAACTATCACTAATCCATCCTCATTTCAATGTCAACAACAGTCTATTCAACAACATTGGGAAAGACTTCAAGAGAGCTTAAATATAAAGAGAACATGAGAAAAGAGTAAAAGGTGTTATTTCGTGACTGTATTGTGGATGTGGTCATGAACTGCACCGGATTCTTTTGACATTCTCTTTCTGAACTGGGTGGGCCCGGTTGGTTTGATTCAATTGCCACATGATACTGCTCGAGTAACAAGCATGGTACTCGCTGTTGACTTAAAATTCTTCATGATGGCGTATTCGTTCTCCTTGCTTCTTCCATCCTGACAAGGTCTCTTTGATCTCTAGGACTTAAGAGTGAAAGCTTCTGGCAATCTTTACAAGACCTATACATATATTTTTTTTAATTATCAGCAGATCTCGAGTTGCAGTTGCACTGCGCTTATTTCCGGCAACACGAGTGTTATCGTAGGTCTACTGCCGGAGCCAACAAGTGGCACGGGAAGCCTCTAACGTGAGGCGCAACGTCCACAAGATCCAGTGATGCGTGAGTTCAAGGTCGTGGTGTTGGGCTCGGGTGGGGTGGGGAAAAGTGCATTGACTGTTCAGTTCGTTTCGCGACGTTTCGTGGAAAAGTATGACCCTACCATCGAAGACTTCTACCGTAAGGAGATCGAAGTGGACAGTTCCCCCTGCGTCCTTGAGATCCTCGACACCGCCGGCACGGAACAGTTTGCCAGCATGAGAGACCTATACATCAAGAACGGACAGGGTTTCGTCGTCGTGTACTCAATCACGAACCACCAGACGTTCCAGGACATCAAGTCGATGAAGGAACAGATCGTGCGGGTGAAGGGCACCGACCGTGTGCCGATCCTCCTGGTCGGAAACAAGAAAGACATGGAACATTTGAGGGAGGTGGACGGTATGGAAGGCTATACACTGGCACAGCAGTGGGGTTGTCCGTTCCTGGAGGCAAGTGCCAAAATGCGCTTCAACGTCAATGAAGTCTTCGCCGAGATCGTCAGGGAAATGAACGTCACCAACACGAAGAAGGAGAAGACATTCTTCTGCTGTGCGGTGCTCTGACCATTCCTCCACCTGACCTGCGCGTTTACCAGGGGCTTTCTTTCCAAAATCATCATCCTAAAGGTTGGTTTATACCTACTGTACGGCATGCATGCTGCCAATCGAAGTCGATATTCCGCAACGGCGGAACTGGACCATAATAAGGGGGCGGGCGGGCGGGCAGGCAGAAAATTTATATTGGCTACTTCAAATCACGCTTCACGCACAGAAAATTAGGAACTTATATTGCTAGCAGGTAGCTGTCATTTGACCTTCCCCCCCTTTCTTGGTTCCGCCATCTGTTTCATATGAAACAAATACGATTCCTGTTCTTCCATATTTCAGGTGCTACAAGATGTTGTCAAGTGTGAAGCTGCAAGTGCCTCCGTGTCCCTTCTGATATTTTTGTATATGCATGTGTCTTTTCTCATTTATTCAGTGTTACCAGCATGTTCTCTGCTTTGGTCACCGCATATCATAATTTGAGGTATATATATATATATGCATACATATGTATCATGTCATTATATTTGGTATCACTCATGTCATTTTTGTGCTAACATGTTCTTTCAGATGAGACATTGAGGGAAAATGGACTGTTTTGAAACTACATTAAAAGTTAGAACCTTGGGACTTGGTTCCCATCTTGTATTGGATTCTGAGGCTAGAGGTTGGTTTCATCTGAAAATTTTCTGCAATCTTCCAAGGTAAATCTCCTTACAACCTTTCCATGAGAAAACATTGTGAGCAATGTTTGCATGCAATAATTAACACTCTTTTGAAAGAGCTTTCCTCTTCTGCATGGAACAACACTTTTTTGAAAGGAAAAAGTTGCTCCATCTTTGTGTTCAATCTCGTGCTACAGGTTCCCGTGTCCCTATGAGGGTCATTAAGGTGCTTTTATTTTTGTCCCTTGGTCTTTCAAGAAACTTCTGATTCTCGAACTTTTAAAAGTGGATGTGATTGCCAAGATCTGAAATAATGTGAGCAAAAATGTCATATGAAGACAGTGGTCATGCATGGTGTGTGATGAGGTTCTTCAATCGTATCTTGCAGATACAGGTCTTGGAACAGTTCTTCCTCCAACCATCTATGGAAGAATCAGACTGTAGAAACATTAATGGCTTTTGCTTCATCATTGTGCATTGAGACACAGACATTCCTATGTATCCATTCTCTGTTGCCATGGATAGAACCTACATAATATTGCAGAGGGGCCAAGATGATGTAAATTTTCAACATTGTCATGTGATGTTTGTGTTCCATTTCTGTGTCCTCTGCTCCAATTCAGCATATATGCAAAGTACCTGGTTTTTTGTTGTTGTCAAGGTCCATGAATAAAGGTCAGAGGACCTACGGAGTGCACCAGGTTTTTTATTCCATCCACCTCCATTGAGAAGGGAAAAGAATGACTCACAAGTCTTCCAATATTCAATCCAGTGAGAATGACTAATCCACAAGAATTCCAATTTTCAATCCAGTGAAAATGAATGATCCACAAGGAATTTTTCTCCTTGTGAATTGCTTCAAAATGAAAGACAATCCCTTTTAACTGAAATCTAAACTCAAAAAAGAATACACTCACATGCACAGATACTTTTTCATCTCTATATATACACAATTTTCACAAAGAGTAACTGAAATTATCACATCGTCCCAATCATTTCGAATGCGTATTTGGAACAAATATAAATCACTTCTTTGATTTTAGTTGTTCACTTTCGGAAGAGGATCAAGAAGAGGAAACTGGGTCTTGGATGATCACAAAGGAGAAAACAAACAGACGTCAAGATATCACATTCAATGGTTACACTTTTGTATCGAAATAGAAAAAAGAATCAAGAAGACTTTCAGTTTGCCAGAGAAGCACCGAGCTTGCATGTGCAACACAAGCATGCAAAATCTCTCTGTTGTGTTTCTTTTTCTCCATAAGGCCTAAAAACTCCTTCCAAAGGTGGCTAACTGTCTACACATCCAGTCGCCGCATGCATTGCGATGTTTATTTTTATATCACTCTCTGATATGTTTGGAAATGCTTTCGATAGTTCTTCAAAGGGGAGAGAAAATCCAGAGTAAGCAAGGGAAAATGAAAAAATTAATTACACCTTATCTAGCAAAATCCAATAGGAAAGAAGCGAGGCAACGCCTGGCCTAGTTTAGTTTACCTTAGCTTAGCTTAGCATAGCATATATCATAATCATTGTGTAAGATACTTTTTCTTTTCTGCATCAGAGGACAGCACATATACATCAATCTTGCATAGAGGGACATAGTTTTTTTTTCCTATAAAGTCCTGCATACAACAGGGAGGAAAAATGTGACACCGGTCTCACACAAAACAACAACTTGATGAAGAGAGTAGGTACAAGATTCTTCACTTGTTACTGTCATGGCTATTCCCTTTTTTTATATGAAAAAAAAACCCACTGAAGACTAATTTTGCAATGTGACACCCTGTTCTTTGCCGGAATATTGCCTCCAGATCGTGGGAACTTCTGTTTTGTCTGTAAAATCAGTGGAAGACAGGGCCATAAAAGGGAAGAATGTGCAGTCCTCTGGTGGGAGCATCCCCCACTCTTCAAAGCGATGGGCAAAGCAGGAATATTCTCAGCAGGAATATTCTCATCCAACAAGCGAGGTGCAGGCACGACAGGGAAAAAGACAGCCAGGAAGAAAGAGGAGGTGAAGAAACAAACAATGGCTATCACATTTCATCTCGAGATTCCTGCGATTGCCAGGCTGAGCAATCCGTTGACTCGAACACGCTCCATGCCGATACGTTGTCCTTTTTTGGAAAAAGGCAGAGGAACAAAATGTATCTATGTATAGTGAGTGACTAGAGGCACCTTTCCTCGACAAGGAACTAACATTTCCTTCTTCTTTTGCTTTGAAAAAATAAAACTCAAGAAATGATAGTCACTTGCTCTCACTTGTGCACCCATTCCATCAAACAATTCTCATTCCATCATGCATGCCATAAGTGTTCATTTTGTGTGTGCATCCTTTTCAGTTTCATGTACAGATGAGTATTATTTTCATGTCCGAGATGTAATCCTGCACCAGATGATGGGAAGCACAGATGCGTCTCAATCTCTTTCGGAAGGGGTTTTGGAATGTTGATCATGTTGTATTTTAGGTTGGTGTTCTTGTTGATTGGGAGAAGGGACTTGCACAGGAGGAGGAGGGATGGGCAGATGATAGTATTTGCAGAGTGGTCTATGGCATTTCCCTTTGACAAAGTCTCTGCAGACCCACAGATGCCCATCCTTGATCTCCACATGCTCTGTAGGGAAACAAAACATTTCTCAATCAAGGGTTTCCATTTTCAGAGAAGTTTCACATTTCACATGGACACATTTCCTTCATTTTGTGTCTGTGTTTTTACATCTTCAAGCCTGTGGCACATTTCTTCAAACATGTTTTTTTTTTTCTAAAACACTCAATAATTCTTATAATGTCTACAATCCATGACAGCATTTTAAATTGGTGACAAGGTACCAAAAAAACTGGAAACACTGAAATGATTACTGACCAAATGTAATTGTAAGCTACATTGGTTAGTGAGAGCTTTCATGGCATGAGACACATTACATAGAGGCAGGGAAGCAAACATTGTAGCCATTGCAGCTGTGATGTTTTGACATAACCCACTTACCAGCTGAAATCTGAAATGAATTCATTGAAACTAATCATTGCTAAAGCAAGACAAAGCTTAACTTCAGTTTTCAAGCTAATGAAAATTTCAATAAAACTGAGGATTTGGGAGTGCCAACAGGTTGTGGGTGTTGGGAATGAGAAATGGTATTAGGTGACCAGGGTGTTAGAGAGAAAGCTGTGAGACTCACCAAATGGGGTATGGACTTTGGGGCAAGTGGGCTTGTTGCATTTCCCCTCCCTAAAAGCGAGGCAGACTGGCAGGATGTCCAGCAACTGCAGCACAGGGAGAGTTGGAAGAAGAAAAAGAAAAAAAAAAACCTGCAACTTTGCAAGCCAAACTCATTCATCTCTTCCTCAGTGTATTTGAGGAACTAATCAAAAAGCAGAGATGCACAGCTTCAATTCCTCTGGAAGATGAGCAGGCGAACACTGACTGCTTGGTTGCTGTCAATACAGGAGCTGAGACTATGGGAAGAGGGATGGGGATACCTGGCCATTGGGTCCAACATAGTTGACAAAGTGGGCATTGGCAGGCAAGGGTTCTTGTGCGATGGGAGGAAGGATCAGGGTCGGGGTTTGGGGGTCTAGCAACCCTGGATCCAAGAGCAAAACATTCAAGACACTCCATCACCACTTCCAACACCTCTACAACATTTTGCTTTGCATCCAGCTCATACTTCAATACAAACCTGAACTACTGGCATTCATGATCAATGTTGGCTTGAGTCCTCATATCCTTGTTGGGAGAAGTGGATTTGCATTCTCAGCAAAAATGAAATTGTTTATGCTGCATTTATCATTGTGGGGTTCAGGTAGACCCCATGCTCCCTGCTCCCACTTAATTTTTTAAACGATGCCATGATAAAATAAACGGAGTGTTCCTGAGTTAAGTCGCAAGTTAATTTGAAGTGGTTTTTCATTGCTTCATTCATGTTTATCTCATTTTTGGAGGGTAATAATTATGTAAAAATAGATATTCTGGCATCATTGTAGTTTGGGAAGATCAGTCCTTTTCCCTTAGGAGAATGTTGTCACTGAGAAGATTACCAAGCCTTCTCAGACACCCCCCCCCCTCCCCAAAAGTCTTACCTGACTTTTAGACATATGAAAACCTGTCATCTATGGACAAGAAGTCAAATTGCACCCCTGTGCAATTCTCAGTGATTAAAAGTAATTGCCAAGTGATAGCAACAATTTTTTCATGAATGCCTTTTTGACTAGCATGAAGGAAAGAACCTGAGTGGGTCTGTGTGAATCGGATCCCATGATGACAGGTTGATTCAACTGTTCCTGCATTTATGTAATACAAGCCCCTTACAACAATGGCTATCCATCCCTCAAATGCACAAAGATATTTACCAAAGATGGACTTTTCAATTTCCAAAATTAACTGAATACAGTTACAAATTGTTAAAAGAGAAATTAGCTACAAAGAAAAGTTACTATTAAAAAAATTTTATAAAAAGTTACTTAAAATACTGTTGTTTTTAGTTCCCAAGCCTAGCAAACCAAAAGCTAAAGACATGTGCAAGTAGGCATTGCCAAATAGATGTTCAACACAATTCATCAAATGTGCTACCCTTGGCTGTTGATGTACCTGATCTCTTCATAATCGTGTGTCACAATAGTTCTCTTCCTATTCTACATCATGCTGAATAATTATCTATAAATAAATAAAAAAAGACTTTCCTTGTGAGCTTAAAAAGACAAAGAACACCACATTGTTTCTGCAATTCAAGACCATTAAAAACTCTGCACAACCGTGCGGTCAGTTGGTTTCGAAACAGCATGCATGCTGCAGGCATAGGGGTACAGGCTACAACTGCAACAAGGACAGTAAGAACCAATAAAAGGAGGCAACAAAAAAATGTCCATTTTATTGCCATGAACCCAAATTGAAGCTAGAAATGGTCTTGAAATTATTATAGCAGAAAATAAAGGAAATGAGTTCATTAATGAAGAAAACCTGTTTCAGTGATTTTCATTGCCTTTATTTTTAAATTAAAGAGGAACTGACTGCAATTTTACAAAGGTGGCCCACATGCAAACACGTTGGCCAGGTTCAACTCTTCAGAAAATTATGTGATATCTAAAATTCTCAAATTTATTCTGTTATGGTTGAAGGGAGCCAAGGAAGAGCATAGCCTAACTGGCCAATCCAGAATGCTTCTTTTTCATTCTGGGCCACCCTGTATTTACTTATTCAATGAACAATTTGCTCAGCTGATGTTACCCAGAGAAATTTCAGTTGCAGCAATCCATTATTAACACATTGACAACTGGACATATGAAAACCCAATATATGAAAGCATGGAAATCTATGTGATCCATCTTCAATGTGTCAAGTTGCTAGATTTGTGATGAATAAAGGTGCTCTCAGCATGACAGATAAGAGAAGGCTTTTGAGCTACCTTTTGATAGTAAGCCACCAAAGGTAACCATACCATAACTCCCCATTTAGGAGTTTCACATGTGGACTGCATTTCTGGAATACTCTATCATTTGCCATCTGAGAGATTTGTCACAAAATGCAAATTCAATTCTTTATCCTTTACAGATTCAAATATGTGTTGAGATTGCATAAGTGAATGGTCTTGTCTAGGGGGGAAATTTCAAATAGAATGGCAAGCTCCAGTCCTTGAGCAGTACACAAACTCCCCACACCCTGACATTTTGTCAATCCATTGCATAATTATTCTTCAGCATTCCCATGTCAAAACTTTTATTTATTTATTATTATATGGTTTCCATGGTATGGGATGTAACAATTTTCTATTAGAGTAAGATTTCAACAATAACTCTGCTTCTATGCTATAGGTGAACATCATGGTGAGGATAAGGGAGAATATTTTTCTATGTCTTCAAAACCTTTATGAAACACAAGGAGGACGATCCTAAAATTACACTTTTATAATGCACTGCTCAGTTTCCTCCTGCCTTTCCTACAAATTGATGAATTCCACAAAACATCTGGGATCAGGGGGAGGTGGGGAAGGGATTTTAATACTTATCAGTTTCATCATCTTCTGGATTATATGGATTCATAGCAAGGGTCATAGTATGCTGCCCATCCAATAGATGAGAACATCTTTTTTCCTTGCCCTCACATTCACATAAGCTTCTCTCCCATCTCTGACATCAGAGGAAAAATGTGAAAATCATGTTTATGTTTATCATGTGCATACTGTTGTGTTTTGAAAATGCTGGCACGAATGAAATTCTGATGCAAGTAACAGAAGAACCAGCAGCCAAACAAAGTGGGCCTGAATTACCAGGGCTGCCTATCACCATGTATTTAGAGGGTATTTAAAAAATAAAAAAAGCTCAGTTTCCCAATAGGGTATGCTGTCATGTGTGGACTCTGCCTGATATATCATTGCTGAAAGAACCTAAATATAGAAACATTCATCTCTTCCCTTCATTTCATATACCAATCACAATCAATGGATCTTCAATTGGACCCAACCTGCCCCCATCCTGCTTCTCCATAAACTTTTAGTCCAACATAAAAAAATTCATGGTATCTCTAGAGGGAGTTTATTTGTGACAAAGTGGTGGAATGATATCTTTGTTTCTTTTCTTCAACAAGGTACTCAAGACCAGCAAAAGCAGCATCATTTTGACTTAGTGCTGAAATTACCATACCTTCTTTGGTTCTCTCCAAGACACCTGAATCAGACATTTATGAGATTCCAGTCATATTAGAATCACCATTGCTTTGAAACAATGAAATTCAAAATCATAAGTGTTTCTGGGTTATTCTGCAGCAACCCACATATCAAAGTAGACTCTAGAAATTGAACCAACAAATTCAAATAGAATTTTCATAATTTTGAACTGAATCAAATTATGAAATTTTAAACTAATAAAGCCTACATTTTCATAGAAATCCTTCCAGTAACCATGAAGCATTCTTTCCTGGAACTTTGTGCTTTTGGAACAGCAGTAGGTATAGTAGGTATGCTGGTGAAATCAAGACACTCCGAGGGAAGTGCAGCATTTCAATAGTTTTGATGCAATACTGGTTCTGTAATGCACTGCTGCTTGTGTGTTTGGTCCATCATCCAAAGGAAAAATACAAGTTAAAGATTCGAATCTTCATTACCTTCACACCTATATCTCCCATCAAATTAATAACATCCACATCTGGCTTAAACCAAATCCTATTTTATGTTGAAGAATATGAAATCAAAACCAATTCTACATTTTATCAATGATTTCAAAATTCAATTGAATTGTGTAAGTATTATTGTGTCATTTCTGCTTTATTCTTCATATTGTCTACCCTAAAGTAGGCAAATATAAGCCAGAATAAAATCTGGAATAATTTTTCCATGGAAGTGGATGCTGCCTATCTCTTATAGCAGTGGCATGGGGTGGTCTATGGCACAGGTTATGCAGATGTTATGCACGATGGTATATGAAGAAATAAATAAAAATAAGACCTACTTGCTTAATTTGAAGATTAAGTCCAACCAACATAATCATAATGAAACACCATAAATTGGGCGGAATTAAAATCAATTCAATTCAGAGTGTGGTGTACACTTATAATTGGTAAACACAACCTTTTTATTGTCCATACTGGTCATGCTGTGTTTGACTTGCATGCCACTGCCCCATAGAAGGTGAATGGAGCATTTTTTCTTTTAAAGACCCTACACATTCTAGATTAAACAAGATTTAGCTTAATGAAAGCCTGGGTATAGCATGGATATTTCAAGAAATACTGGTAAAGAAAACTGCCAGTCTTTAGTTTTCTAGTCCAAAAAGATATGTTCAGAATGACCTGGAAGGAGTCATGATAACAATATAAAAAGAAGAGGCAAGCAAAGATGCTTCCAAGCAGGAGGACAGGATGTCAAGTGAGGTATGTAGGTAGGAATTATGGAATGGAATGTATGATGACAATCATCATGTGCCCAAATCCTGAAAGGAAGGCATGAGAATGTGACAAGGGGAGTGGTAGACTTAAGATATGTCTCCCTTTTCCATTGAGCATTTCAGTCCCCATCAACGTTTCCAGATGGCATTGCATCAAGACACCCTTGCAGATGATAAATGGCACAAGGTTTTAAAACATGAGAGATCAGGAACAAAGACCAAGAATCATGTGCAAGGGAGTTCTGACACATTTCAGGCTGGTGAAAAGTAAAAGCAGTGCTGTAGAGTGTCTCCGCTTCTCGACAATCCTCTTCCTTCCATAGACATTCGTTTTGGCAGGCCCACATTTCCAGAAGAGAACGATCAGCTGGAGCGTATTAATGAGCAGCTGGCTTTCAGCGGACTGGTTAGAGCGCAGAGGAAAAAAACAACAGAAGCGGGCATGTCCTCAAAAAAAAAAAGAATTGTGTTCTCCGAGTAGAAGATAGGTTGAAAAAAACACCAAGCGTTCATGCAACCAAAATCAAGGGTTTCATTACGGGAACTCAATAGCAGCAGCATGTAATCATGAGAAGAAAAAAATAGAAAGATGGATATCGTCTGACGATGTGAGTGAAATAAAAACTCAAAACAAGGCCAACAAAAAACCTCTAAGGAATAGCTTGTGATGGAATGGAAAATGGAAATGGAATGAAATGAAAGCAGCACAGGCTAAGAACAATGAATGCAATGCAATTGCAGTGGTCCAATGTTGTGTCAATGTCTGTCCCCTGCACCACCAACACATCAAATTTTCATGCCAACTTTTCAACATGTTCTAGGCAAGCACTGACCTCCTCTTTGCCTCTTCCCTCCTCTCCCTCATACTTGTGACATCTCTCACCAAGAACTTCTACTGTATGCTACAAGCTCATTCATACAAACATGGTAACTTTTCTGCTCCTTGAAGAAGCACCATGCATCTCAAAAGTAACATAGAATCCAACCAGAATTTAACCTCAGATTAATTAAATATAAAATAGACTATTTCTTTTTAGACTGTGTGAAAAACTAATGACCAATAAAAATAGTTCAACTAGTAGAATCTAAAGAAAAATATCTGGATTTGTAAAGATTTAATATTATTAAAAAATGGTGCCAAGTCTTTTGGTATTATTGCATGAGTGATTATGCTTCATGAGCACCATGATTCAAGCGAAGTGTAGAGGGAGAGTGATCAGGGAGGCACAACAGGAGACAGTGACCAGTGCAAGCAAGTGAGGCTGAAAGACCCAACAACAGGGGGAGGGGGGGTAACTGGTCTAAATCTGTTCTGGTACAAACAATGTACTAAAGTAAGGGGGGAGTAAAAAAGAAAAGAGAAAAAAATAAAATGAAGTTCAAAGCAGGTCAAAAACCGCAGACACACAAGACTCATGAGCACAAAGACGATCCAGTCCATGTGGAATGTGTATCACCCCAAATAATGGAAATCAAGCTAAGCTTTGCTTTTGGCATGCTTGCAGAATAATCAAGTCACTTCCAGCAAATATACAGACCAGAAATACAAGGACAGGTGGAAAACTACAAACATAGGCAATTGTGCCTATGAATGTATATCATTTCAATGTTCCTCCCCTCCTCATTCACCTTCTCAATCATGCATATGTCTGGGGTTAAAAAATTATTGGCAAGCAAAACTTGTACACAAACAGCTAAAATAATGAATGGCTCTGGACAAGTCCCATTTTTGGATGGTAGATCTCAACAATACAAACGCATTTCAAATGCCAGCATGATTCTTAAGGTTCTTAGATGAAGGAATGATTGTCTCAGGAATGTATCTGGGGTTATAAATATGCCATATATACTCTTGAATACATTTTATGTCAACAATGTGCATAGTTGACATGCTACCAAGATTGAGTATGGAAAAAGCTAATTCCCAATAGAAGAGGGACATCCCTCTCATTGGATGTGTAGGGTAACTACATGCTTGGGGTGATTTCATAAGCATGGGATAAACTTTTCTTCACTTTCTCAATCAGAACCTTGACAGATGTACATTACTGATCATGAATTGTGCAAAGCAAAATGAAATGATCAATAGAACTTGCATTGGGGCACTTAATAGCCAAAGGCTTATGCTTTCTTTGTAATGCCTCAGCATATACTCATGCTGTTACCTTGACCCATTTTACAGAACAAATAATTTTTTTTTATTGTGTATGCTAATATTTTGGTCAAATTTTCAAATTTAGCACCTGACAAAAATAAAAAACTAAAGCATGTGCAAGAGTAAATATGGCAATATTATATAAGGTTTGATGTAAAATAATTCATTTGATTCAATCATGCCAACTCAAGACATTAAATCTACATGGGAACCTGTTTGCCTTGAACATGGGATAAAATATGCGTATTTAGCTGACACTATATACAGAACAAAAATAAAATTTCATTGAGAAAGTAAAATTAAATACAAGTGATAAATCATGGAAGATCATGCTTGCACCTCACATACCTGACTTAACTTCTCTCTTGTCCACGTATTATAAATGTTGCAACTAGGCGTGCACTGGTGTAAAATAGCAAGACTTAGATTTTGTTTACCATTTCTATGTACAAGGAACATGACTATCTTGGGGATCACTAGCACCTGGAATTAGGCATCAGGCACTTTGGAGTGGGATTGATTATGCTCTCACATTGTGGCAAGGCTAGGCCTTTTTCAATTTTTTGACAGGGGGTGGGGATACAGCAGCAGCAGCAGCAGACATTGCAGCAACTGCATTCAAGAAATTCTGCTGTTGATTCTGTTGCTGTTGCTGTTGCTGCTGCTGCTGATGCTGCTGGGCCTGAAGGAGAGCATGAACAGAGGAAAGGAAAGGATTGGCAGGGCGCAGGGCAGCCTTATTCAACGTCCACAGAGCAGGACTGTAGGGCACAGGAGTCTGCAACTCACAGGTGAATGGGATGAAGGGCTGCTGGAGACTGACCAAGCCCTGATATCCCACTGGCCCCTGGTACATCGGCAAGCCACTCTTCTCCCCAGCAACACGCTTGTATGCTCCAAGGCCGGTTGGAGTTGTGGACACTGGTGTCGGTGTGTGTGATGGCACTGGACTTGTATTCCCACCCCCATTGCTCCCCTGATGATATGACTGTCAAAAATCATGAGAGTAGAACCCAACAACAATTGCATGAATGTTCCTCTAAAAAAAGTTCTACCATCACAGGGATTAAAACCAATGCAGAGATGCAAAAAGAGGAGTACAGAAATGGAAAGGAGGAAGTGATAAAAAGAGAAAAAGGAAGAAATACATCATGCGTATGCATACCAAGAAGAGAGCAGCATCATCAGCAGGGTCTCGGGGACGCTTCTTTCCAGCCTGACCTTGACCTGCCAGGTCGGTTGGGGTCTGCTTTGATCAAGTGTTAGAAGCCAAGCCACATCCAAGTTCCAAGCAACACCGACCAGACCACGAGGCATGGAAGAAACAAACACACAGAAAAACCACGCACAGGTGCAGATAGAGTCGCTCACAGATATTCCACATTTCTTTTTTCCTTTCTCTCTCTCACTCCATTCTCTCTCTTGCCTGCATTCATAAAGCAAGGAGGATATGGTTGGTCTTTTCTGGGATGAAATTCATGCCAATAAAATGCAGAAGGGATCTTGGAAGAAGGCAAACAGTCTCTGCTTCATGAATGTCAGGCTATCAAAGAATACATCTACCAACTGATCATAAGATTTCAGATAAAAATATGGTTATTCAGTCACTGTGTTCCATGCATTCCTCCCAACTCCATCAACCTTACTGTATCAGCCTGCATTTTGCAGCATGCCACTTTAAAACAAGGTAACAAGGTTTTAAACTTGACCCTTAAATGGCAAAGTGTTAGTAGAAATGGAAACTAAACCTGTACATATCCTCAGGCTTCCTCCACATCAAGGATTGCCAATTAATACATATCTCCATTCCATGAAATAAAAGTGCCCATGGCTGGGAAGAGGGTAGCATAAGTATACTCCAAAGGGACTGACTTCACCAGTCATCCTCTTTGAGCAACAATATATCCAGGGTCCACCAAAAAAACAATAGCATCCTAAACTGTTGCCTATTACTTTACTTCAAGTATCTGAGAATGAACAAAAGAAATTCAACAAGGGTGCTCTTTATTATAGGCTCTTTAATAAAGAAGACTTGCTAATTGTGGCAAGGACTTAATGCTAAAGGAAACCTATGGTTCCTCTAAAAAAAAAATTAAACGTCAGAGATGATACTGCACTTTGAGTCAGGAAGGCTAAAATTCTGAAGGGAATTCAAGAGCTGGGATTATAGGAGATAAGGGGAAGAGGAATTTATATATATTAAAGACATTCTGGAGGAAATTTTCACACCAACCTCCATCACTGACTTCAAATCTATTCATTACCTGTAGAGGATTTTATTTCATTCTTTCATCTCCAGGCCTAACAGAGGGGTCTCAATTATTTGAAAGTTGTGGTGTTAATGCTCCATTGAATTTAAATTTGAGAAAGTTTTAACAGCTTTACATTGGTAAATTTAAAATATATATTTAACTTATAGCAGTTTTTGAATTGGAAAATTTCATAAAATTGACTACTCCATAGATGATTTCACTCTAATTACAGGACTTCACTCTAATTACAGATCTTCACCCATGGAATGCATATGCTGAAAAAATGGCCTAGCTATCTGTAGTATTTAGTAGGGATAAGAGCCCTAATAAGGATGATGCTGCAGGTTTAACTACAAAATTGTTCAGAAGTGAACAACCAAAATCAGCCTGTACACAAGGGCTTCCCAACCCTTTTCATGTGCAACCCCCAAAAAATCACAATCATACCATTCAGGACCACAATCACTGGACGAAATTTGAAAGGGTCCCCCACCTATACGATAAAATTGCAAATAAAAAAATAACTTGGCATTTATTTTCCAGTTTGTGACCCTAAATATGATCATGATCAGGGGTCATGACCTCTGGGTTGGGAAGCCCTGCTGTACACAAAACAACATAGGCTTTGCTTTGAAGATCATTTTTAGGCAAGGTGAACCCACTAGCCACTTAATGCCAGCTCAAATAAGCAAAGAAACTGGAAAATCAAATGCCTAAGGAATTAAGGGTAGGCTTTAACTATAGGAAACCAGAATTTGTGATTGCAAAGGAGCTTTGAAAGTTCCCAACTCATATGGTTTCTCACATCAGGAAACCTTCCAGAAGTTCAATATTTTATTTTCACAAAGGTACCAGGAAGAACGAAGTCCCTTCAAGCCATGCAGTTCAGAAGAAGGCTACATTCAGTCAAAGCATTACAGTGTCCTTGGCATTTTCCAGCAGTGAAAAACACAAGTACATTTTGGGCAAAAAGGACCAGAATTAATGAAAGCTACGACCAAGAAACACTGTTAGCAATAATGCTGCAGCATGACATGGAAATTTTCACATGGCAAGGAATACTTGCATTCCTTGATGCAACTGTGCCTGATTTGGTTTGTCTAACTGGGTGACAGTCCAACATCTCATATCCTTATGATTCCTGCAGGTCACATTTGTGATCCATCAATTTTCATTTTTAATAAAGGAAGCAGTAATTTCAATGACACTCGCTATCAAATTAACAAAATCATTACCTATATATATTATTATAAAATATTGATAACAATGGATACTTATAGTTACTATGAAAAGAAGCCAAACTGAATGCATATTATATGACCACCACCTCCATGACAGACTTTGAATGGATTACACTTAGGCATTTTGAGGATATTATGCCCTTTGCAATGCAAGGTGAGACATCTCAAGAATATTCCAACACCAGTGCTGAGGGAAGTCCCAGTGGAAGAAATGAGCAAGATTTTTAAACGTTCATGTACCAGCTGCACAACAAATGACAACTTCAACTTTGAGCATGTGTAACAGCTCAAGGAGGCCATTTCTGAGCATTCACTATGGATGGAAATTGAAGTAATTGGTAAATCTGATAAAATGATGATTGTAATACCTGAGTGTCACAGAAGTTGATAGGGTTCAAGCTTAGAAGAAAACCATAAGACTTTTTTTTTCATATAGGAGACAGTATTAGCCTAGGACACAAAAACTTTGCATCTGAATGAAGCCAAAATGATGACTATCTCTTCCTTTTTACAAGCTACCAAGAAAAATCATATCTCGATACTTCATCCAGTCACAAGAAATACTACTTAACCATCATCTGGGCAAGATATTTTTGCTACACAAACAGACAAGGCCAAGAACGTTAAGTATTTTTTTCCTTGAAGGAAAATCAAAACTTTAAAATTTTGTTTCGAATCAATGGATGAAATACCCATTAAATTTGCAGAAAATTGATAAAAAATAGCCAGAGTTGCAATGCAATGAAACATACCCTGGGGAGTTCAATGGACTCCTGTTGCCCAGATAAGGGTTCAAATTTATGGCTGACCAGATAGGAATAAGATTGATGAAAATGAAGTGAAGTAAAAGCAGGTGGGAAACTATTGCCTTCTCTGTGGCCAGGCAAAATTTAGCACACAAGAGAGGTGAATAAAACCTTCACAGACTGGGTTCTGTAACTTCTTTATTCTTTGATGTATGCATGTCTCTTCTTGTACATATCTTGTGCCGAGTCTTGGGGTTGCATGGACAAAACGTATTGCTAACTGGTTTTTTCATTTTAATTTTTTTATGATTCTAAAAAGTAATTTTTGACACCCTAGATTTTTATTTTGTTTTTCCTGCACAATTTGTACCCCATTTTTGTGTCATGACTCACAAATGACAGACTAGGCATGATAAGTTGACATTATGGACAATAATGGTCACTACTGTACATGATCATAAATGACCATGCTCACCAGTCAATGTCTTATAGCTAAGATAGACTTTACCATACAGATTGTGTGAGTATGAACATTACACAGATATCAGTCATGTTTCAGATGTAAACTCTGTGACTAGTTAGCTCCATGTGTGGGGGGCAAGTCCTATGAGTGTGTGATGCTTGAATACATATTTCATGAGCCATCTTGTAAATATCCAACAGGATGGTGTACTTCCCCATTTTCCTATAACATTTGGAACCTATTTGAAGAACCAGTTTAAATGGTGTGTGATTGGTAAAGGAGGAAGCACACCAAGACCAAGAGCACTGCACTCTCCTCAATTGACTCCCATTAGACTTTTTTCTGCAGTTTTGTGAAGGGTCTTTTTTTTATTTTTAACAAGATTAACAGCATACAGAAACTGAGGAGCAGTATCCAGGATGCAGATTATCACATCACCCTTCAAATGTGCAGGAATGTCTTCTGCAGCACAAAAGATATATGAATGGCATACCATGACATTGATAGTGGATATGTACAGTGCAATGGGCTATTTTTTGTTTTTGTTGAATACATCCTCCATCTTTAATTTTTTTAAAATTCAATCCAACCCCTAATTCTTCAAAATAGATAGGGACTTTTGGATACCCTGAATATATAAATTGTTAAGAATCACTCTGAAAACGTATGCTCGAATGACTCTGCACTTTGTCAGCCATTTTGATAGATTAGTTGAAACTTAAGAAGAGATGGTGTTACGAATTACAGTTGTGCACCAGACAGAGAATTATCATTGTATCATGCTGAACATAAAAGTAGTACAGCACAGAACAAATGTCTCAGTGAAAGATGCACTGGTCACCATTGGCATTGGGGTCCTTTGTAGATAACAGGTACCATAATCTTGTATCAGGAGACACTATATATCAAATCCAACCTCCTCCACATGCAACAGGTACCAATCACATGTATGAGACTTAGTGTGATCAGTACTAATGTACCTTATTGTCCAGTTTTAATGTCCCATTAACTTGAAGAGTGCAGGGCTTCACTTACAGACAAATAATCAACTCTGCTCCTGAGACTGAAGCTATTCTATCTTGGTTGACACTTCCTGCCTCATTGAAATGTGCATCAGCCTCTACAATCTTTATAACATGGCATTTGGTCTACCATAATTATGAATGAAATTGAACTACAGTCGTCCCTCGCCACTTCGCGCTTCGACTTTCGCGGCTTCACTCTATCGCGGTTTTTTCAAATACCTGTATATTGGGTAATACGAGTGTAATGGTATATTTCATGTCTATTAGAGCCCTCTAGACATGAAATAACACTCTTTAGTCACCATTACACTCGTATTACCCAATATACAGGTATTTGAAAAAACCGCGATAGAGTGAAGCCGCGAAAGTCGAAGCGCGAAGTGGTGAGGGACAACTGTACTCCTGAAAATTTTGTATGCATAAACACTATTTTGACATGAATGTCCAACTACTGGCCCACACCAGTATTGGATCTGGACCCAGAAACGATTGTATCTGGCCCAAGATAAAAAAAAAAGAAGGTTGCTGACCCATAATCTAGAGAGATAAATGAAAGAGTGGTATTTGCTTTGCAATATAAGTGAAGGTCAGCATCAATTTCAGTACTGAACAATTACCTGGAAAATGAGAGCATTGTGCATTTCACATGCAGATGAGGGATATAGTTAACGTGCAGCAGCACACAAATACACCACTGATGGGACTCTACAATCCCAAGACACAAGAGTATTGAGAAGTACTTTCCACTCCCTTTTGACTGCTTGCTAATTATGGATGTGAAAGTGACACCAGATACTTACTGGTTTGCATGCATTTTGGGCATCAATGTCTCATCCACAGAGTTTGCCTCACAAGCTATTCAAGCATGATTAATTTTTTAAAGCACAAATACCGATTGGTATATAGCAGTTACATGTAGTTACCTAACAATAATTGCAGGGTTGGCAGTATAATTCAAAAGCAATTTCTAAAATAATGTCATGGTAGAGGTACTAACAAACAGATGGTTAAAGAAAATGAAATAATCTTTAGTGGGTTTCAAATTGAGAATTCTCAAAGAAAAGCAGATGACTTTGTTGTATGCTATGGCTTAAATAACAAACAATGATCATGTCTCCTTTTTAATGATTGTTTCTGTAAAAATACTTGCAGATGAGGTTATTTCTCATCAATCACAATGATAGGTGAAATTTATCTTGTCAGCATGCTACAAAATGAAGGCTGATACACTATAATTTACATGTACTGTTACTCAAAATTTCCATTTGAAATTCTAACTCAGGCATCACAGAGATGCTATCAGTTTTCAAACTGCCCCACAAATAAGTACACTGATTTTATAGGAAAAGAATCTGTCATGGATGTCTTGAGTCTATTCTGTCAGGAAAGAGACTAGTTTCCATTCATAGGCTGCCATGTAACAAGGTTTGGATGAGATATAAAAAAGTAAAACCAAACCTTATCAAATTGCTTCAGAAACTTGGGAAAATAAAATAAGTTGAGAAGATAAAACATAGCATGAAAGAACTCCAGAAACTGAGAATAAATATGAAACCACTTTCAACTGCACAAACTCTCTTGGCACAAGATGCAAATCTTGTGGTAGTGCTAAGGTGGTACTCGGAAGAGTGAGTACTTTATTAGAGTTGTTATTTATAGAATGCGAGGGAGAAATCCCACCTCAGTGCGTGGATCAGGTCGAGGAGATTTCTGTGGGGTCGGAATGGAGGTGATAGGAGTAGATGTGGGAGTGGGGGCATGAGGGGAGGGGATCAACCCCATTGTGGCCAGGCCATCTGGTCCCATTGAAAATGGAATCAATGATGCACCCGCTGCAGTTCCTGGCAGGTAAGGTGCATATGCTGCTGCTGCCAGTCCAGGGATGCTTGTTGCCTGGAGGGCTGTTGCTTGCATGGCACCAAAGTATGGACTGGTTGTTGCTTGCTGTTTACATAGAAAAACACTTCATCACAAGCCTGGAATTAAATGGTGCACTAATACCTGCAATAACTGACTTTCTAAACCTATGATGATGTCAGGCTATACAGTATAAACTAAAGGACTACAGCTACTGTATACCTCTCAAGTGTTTCAAAAGTTGCAACAAGAATTTAAGTTCTTGCAAATAGTGAAAACTAATTCAATTATGATCTCATTACCACAATTTTAAGTTATCACCATATCTCTAACTTAGTATTAAAAAATCTCTCTCCCATTTTGTCAATTAAGCAACACACAAAAATAAACAATAAACTGCAGTTACTTATCCAATGTACAAGGGTCCAAAAGGTTTCCATGGACATCTGATATTAAACCATTGTTTTTATTGCTACCAAAATCAACACGCAGAAACAATGCACCTCCCTTAGCCCCAAAATAATCACTGTTTGAATCTATGCACTTCTGCCATCTGGAGAGCAATGAATGTATAACCCTTCTGTGGAAGCCTGTATCTTCTTCTTGTGGCCACTGTCTTGCAGCATTTTGAAGATCTTCACTGCTGAAGCGTATTCCACGAAGGTGGTCCTTCAACTGGCCAACCTGATGATAGTCGGAAGGAGCTATGTGTGGGCTATATGATGGCTGGCTGGCCACTGTCCACTGAAAATTCAAGAACTTGCATTGTTTTCAACGCCAGCAACAACAAAATACAGGCTTCTACAGAAGGGGTATACAATTGCTGCTCTCCAGATGGCAAAAGAAGTGCATAGATTTGAAGTGATTATTTTGAGGGCTAAGGGAGGTGCAATGTTTCTGTGTACTAATTTTGGTAGTGAAGAAAATAATGGTTTAGTTTTTATTAGATGCTTGAGAAAAATTTTCTGACACCCTCGCCCATGCATGTAACCACCAGAGAGTTCTAAAAGAATCCTAGAGAGGCATCTTAGTGGAATGTGCATTAGGGACTGAATAGGATTTTTAAAAAAAATTCATACAAAAAAAGGATTCTTGGATGGCAAAACTTTCAGTTTCAGTGAAACTTCTTTCCTGGAATATTTAGAGTCTTCTTATACAAAAACAAATGTGCGTCTGTGCACCAGTACAAAACATTCATCAATGTTTGTGGGAATACAACTGCCTTATTCTTCATCAAAATGTATGCCTTATTCTTCATCAAAATGTAATAGCTCCAAAATTTAATCAACCTGACATCTCTATACAATTTCATATTTTCCAACTAAAATATTACAACAAAACAAATTAAAAAATTGGATACTCTCATAGATGACATGTGGAAAAGTGTGAGATCCTCCATAACCTCTATTGTACCAGATCTGACAAGGGTGAATATGCAATCTTGAGAATTTTCAGTCTTTCTCAATCATTCTTCCATTTAAAAAAGCCCATATTCTTGTCCCTAGTTGTTAATATTGCATATTCGCCCTTTCATCAGGCTTGCAACAAAGTCAAACATAGGCAGCACTTTTTCATCTGCATTGTTCACAATAAGAAATAAGAGCACATCAAACGAGACCATGAGACTGATTCAATTAGAGGGTTAAAAGGTGTCCTTCCTTAAGGAGTTCTGAAATTCCTGTCCGTTTAGGGTGTGTGAGGGTGTCAGAGGGTGTGTGTGTGTGTGTGTGTGTGTGTGTGTGTGTGTGTGTGCGTGGGTGTGTGTGTGTGTGTGTGTGCGCGGGTGTGTGTGTGCGTGTGTGCGCGGGTGTGTGTGTGCATGTGTGCGGGTGTGTGTGTGCGGGTGTGTGTGCATGTGTGCGGGTGTGTGTGCATGTGTGCGGGTGTGTGGGTGCAGGTGTGTGTGTGCAGGTGGGTGTGTGTATGCACCTCTCTTTCAAACAATTAAATCAGAAAATCATAGGCTGAAAACAATTTTGAACACTACATATTTTGCCTAAATCACCTATAACAGTACAATCATTTCAAATGAAGGCTTGTTTTTGAACTGAGATTTACCAAACTTGTTCAGGTAGGAATAGTCAACATTTGGGAGAAACTGAGCTTTGATGTGCAACACATCCAATTTGTGAAGCTGATGCCTTTTTGATGCACTCCCATTTGAATATGTGGGTTCATTTGAAAGGGACACTGCATTTAAATGTAGACAAAATGCATATGCAATTAGATTACATGAGTAGTCTCCAAAGTGTCTTTTACTGTCTTGAAGGCATACATTAGAGATGCGCCTCTATCATGCTCCATTTGATGCAACCCAAAATCTGCTGAACACAGCCAACAAATGACATGTCACCTACTGTAGCTTTGAGACCTAAATGCTGCTGCTAGACTCATTCCTGATCATGCAGTGCTGCTGCCAAACATTGCTACTGTACACTGGCCTTCTTTGCAACATCCGAGGACAAACTTCATGCAAGACATGAGAGGGAAGAGACAGATACAAGTAGAAAACATGATGTATGTCATACCATGAAGCTTGGGTCTATGAGCAGCGGCTGGTGATTCAAGTAAGTGCTAGCCTTGTTCCCAGTGACCTGCCAAAGCATTGAAAGAATTCATCACCCCCATTCAAACAGCTAGATACAAGGAGAGCCTCTGTCTACACCTCAAAACAAGCCCTGCACACCACAACACATGCCACAGGCCCTATCTCACTGGCAAAAGGTTAATTATGAAATCTACACAAGGAGTCTCCATTCATTCACCAATTTTGAATCATACATATTAAAGGAGGAATGAAACACAAAAATTCCAGTCTCATTTAGTACAGTTTGCATTAACACATCTTTCTGCCTGAGTGTAGAGAGGAAAAGTTGGAATGCAGTGTACTTCCATGATGATAACATAGTATGTTTCATCACATAAGTACCACAGAGAAGCAAGAAAAAATGTTAATGGATTTTTCAACAATTATGAAAAGGATGAAATATTCAAGGACATGATATCTTTTTGCTTTGTTTCATTATTTTTAGATTGTAATATACAACATTGTGAATCCATTATTTTTCATGGTAAAAGAACTCCAAAAACTCAAACACATTGCCCTTCTTTTTTAAACTTTTCTTGTGAGAGAGAAAATTATTTCAGAAAGGAGTTTTTTTATTACAAGGTCTGTCCTAGGCCAATGAGATGAAGCTGTGGCATACAGCGACAAATGGACACTACCACAAAGGACATGCAGATAGTGTGGTGAGCAAATGGGGGAGAAAAAAATAGGAAAAGAAGTCATAGGCCTACCATGGCAGCAGGGGTGTGTATGGCAGGTCCAGTGGTACAAAGAGGAGTAGCCAGTGGAATCCCAGCACCTGGCTGACCTGGTTGTAGGCCCATCTGTTGCCATAAGGCATTCTTTAGTGCCAGGTGATTCCGTCCATTTGTCAGGAGCTGCTCCTTCAGGTGCTGAGGGGGGTGGAAGTATTTGCATGGCGGATTCTCTCGCGTACACCGACCCTGAAGGACAAATTTGTTCCGTATTGCTTTTCATCATTCAACAATACTCATGAAGTTTCTGCCTCTTTCAATGGATGTCTGGTGAGATAAACTTGGAAACTCTCATCAATCATTCCAGGATGGCAATTTTGAGTGTGCCAGGCCAATGAAAATGTAAGAGGTGAGAGTGAGGGGATTCTGGGAAGGAAGGATAGAAGGGGAGTTGATGTGGCAGGTGATGAAGCCATGGCAGCTGTAACTCCATCCTCTCCTCCCCACTTTGGTCTCTGGGAAAAGGATGTGTGACTGTCTTGGCAAACTGCCATCCAAAGACAGGGTGAAAACTGGGACCAAGCAAGAAAAATCTCTCCTCTCTTGCGGAAAGGCAGACCAGAATAAGAGTGTACATAGGATAAATTAGATCTACAGGTTGTCCAGTAAGCCTACTGAAATGAGTCACTGCCTGAACTCTTGGGGACTCTAAGGAAGGGAGACTTCACTTTTTTGTTGAAACATCACTAGAGAAGGGAAGCTATATAGCATCATATATATTAGTTTCATTTGATCCTCCCTAGTACACAATCACTTCCAGAGTATAATTCTTCTTAAACACTAGCAAGAATGATATCAGTACTCAAAATTAGTCAGTCTGCCATACTGGCACTTTACAAAAAAAACTTGGTTAAAAAAAAGATAACCATTTCATATCTGGGAATGATGTACTGGAACCAAATTGCTTTTCTCTTTCACCAATTGAATCTAGCCCTGCCCATTCAGTCCATCATATTTAGTAAAGGTGCACAAATTCACACTACAGTGTTTTCAATTCAGTTAGACACTTTTTCACTTGACTTTGACACTCATGCATGAGGTATGCCCCATGCACATGTGTTGAGTCAAGTTAAAAATTGTCTAATTCAAGTGAAAAACACTGAGTAAACATGCACAAAAGTTCTATTAAAGCATACTCCATCAACCATTAGCACATCCCAAATGGGACACTACTGCACTTTTAATAGATGATTGGGAGATGCATTTGCAGGTATATATGGAGGAGACATCATTCTCATGTTGATGTGAATGTTATTATTGCCTCTTCCAAGACTGGGCATCAAAATGAAAGGCTTTGAAACGAAATTGTGTCAAACCAGGAAACTAAATACAGTTTTCAGCACACTCAGAGGCAACTTGACTTATTCCTCTTTTACATCCACCTTCTTCTATTAAAGATGTTTGCAGACACAAATGCACGCAAGTACATTACAGGTAATGTACTTGCAACTGATATGCATTTTGTGCTTAAAAAAATACTTAAAGAAGCTTATCACATGTGATATGAAGAGGAAATAAGTTAGAAAAAATATATTAACCCAGATTTCATCACATATTCCTTTTTTTAAGGTTTAATGGCTATCAGGGTATTCTTAGAACAAGTCCAGTTAAATAAATACCCTATAAATGCACATCTCAAGATCGATCATGCAGACATTCTTCAGAAAAATTAACATTGTAGTATTATGTACAAATTCAATAAAAATGTCTAGATCCCCATTTGGGGATCACAGTATGTAATGAGAGTTCTTCCTCTCTTAAATGACTGCAAGCATCCAGTACCATCGTTTTCTGAACTTTTTTTCTCAATCTCCTATTCCACAACCAGTACACTACCATAGCTTCTTCTTGAAGAAGCTCATGACAAAATTGCAGGGTGGTGACAGGATTTAGAGAATGGGTTCAATCAGCATATAGTGGACAAAACCATAATGGGCTGGGCTGAGACTGGTGGAGATGGAATTGTTGTGAGCTTAGCCTTTGTTCATTCCTGGTCCCAATACATTATAAACCTCCCTGTATGTTTTCAATTTTGAAACATAACAGACTTCGGAACTAGGTCAAATGCCATAGCAGCTATGGCACCAAGCCTTAAAGGGAAACTGTATATGGTCACACTGGTTCTAATCTGTGCTTATGCATGTTGATCAGAAAGTGGCGATTTCATCACGTGCTACTCTAATGTTTTTCACTTTGATCTCTCACTCAGCCAAGCAATCACTTCTGATACTGATTGCATCCAAATTGCAAGTTAGGCTGTTTGTTGGCAGAATAGCCTCGAATAGCACACATTGATTAACTTCCTTTTTCAACTTCTTGGCTTTCTCTCCTAGACATTGCCTCTGCAAAGGATTAATTTCATCAGACCACTTTTGACAAAAACGTCCCAGATGCATAGGCAAAAACCAATGCATTAGGAGTACATTGAAGCAAGTTTTATTTACCACGAAAATGGAGGCTACTTTTCATTTTAAAAAAAGATAGTCTCTGTGTAGGGGAAATACACTTTCTTCCCGCGAACCTGAGGCGACAAATCGGAATTTCCCGGGAAGGATATGCAGGCGAGAGAATCAAGCTGGGCAGTGCAGGTCCGTCCGCGTCCCTTTCCTCCTTCCGGTAATAAAGGAAAATTTTCTGCTTGAAAAGTGGTATCTTTTGTGGTCTTTCACTGATACGTCCTCCATCCAAGGACAAAAGGTTGACCAAGAAAATTCATGAAATATTTTCCATCTTTTTTTTTCTTTAGTCGTGCAGCTAACTTTCAGACTAGCAATTAACAAGTTTGGAAACGACGAACTATGGACAGGATTCCCAGATTTTATCGAATGCAATTGCCGTACGCATTAGCCCGATATCATGCTACTCCAACTCTATTTCTTTGTACAGGTCGGCTGTATGGCGAGCGGTAAGACTAGGAGGGAATGGAACTGAAGGAGTCACATGCGCAGTATAATTCTGCCCTTTAGCGGGAAATATCGCAGCATTTACAGCGTAAACTGGCGGCAGCAACCTTCCCAGGCACCAGAATCGTCTCCTTCCGACTCCCATTCCTTTCCTTGCCTTGAGTCGTCCACTTCTTCTAAAACCATTTCAGTCTTTGATATCATTATCTAACGCGATAAAGCACAATTCGAGAATTCCAGGTGCTAGTACAATAAAGGCATATAATCGTGACAGCTGAGAACCGGGTGATTCGAATTCACAAAATCGAGTCTCGACCTTTGCACAAGACTCAAAATAGTGCCACGGGATTCGTGTGTCAAGTTCACGTTTCACCCTGGAGTGAATAGAGCAGTAGGTTTCACGGTTGACGCTTCACGAGACGCTGGCAACGGAGAAAGTCTTTCCGGCTCTTCGGTCGCCCAAGGTACTCTCTTCGGTCGCCCAAGGTACTGTCATTCAATCGCAAACAAGGTAGGGCCGTCACTGTATGAGCAAAACGCAGAACGTTCGAAGTCTGCAAGATGCTTGTAGCAATGACAAGCGAGACAGGTTGAAAAAAAACCTTGAAACCATGTACTTGGACTGGTGAAGAGCAAGGCGGAAGAGAACAGCAAAGGACAATAAAGACACGCGCCATTCCTTCAAATTATTCCCTAAGTGCGGTAACTTGAAAAACGGTGGGTCACCTCTGGCAGTCCATGAGAAAAAATGGGCTGCAGAAGTCACGAAACTACCTTGTTCTTATTCAAGAAGAGTGATTCTGGAGTGGGAATAATCTCGGGCCTCAAAGTGCTCGTATTCAGCGATGGAGGTAGTCCGTGGGTCTCACCAAGCTCGAGAATGCACATGCAGATTTAAATGTCCTCCCATTCCTCACACGGAGTTTCGCGATTCCTACGCAGGATGCTCTGCCGTTGAGACGACTCAAAATGGGAGTGTGATTATTTCCGTCAACGACAGAAACCAGCAATTGAATTCCTCACAAATGAAGGAGCACCACAGAAAGACATCGTCGATGAAAGTTCACACAACTCATCCAGTAATGCAAGTACTCACATCAACGCATGCGTCACTTTATCACATTCAGTCGCGCAATCGAAAACCTCCGATACACATGTCATCATTCAAATTTTTTTTAAAACTGGATTAAAATATTAAAGGAAGCTGTGAACATTTCTAAAAAATTTGATGCGTGTAGCATTAACTTTCTAAGAGTAGCCAATTAGTAATTCACCGTATTAGTAAGACTTTTACCTGGACTGAATGTGTCAAAGAACCTTCACGCGACTATGAATCGGTGGTACAGGTAATGAATCACTTATGAGGACTCGAATGGCTTCTTTCCGAAAGTGACGGACATCGCCCTCCAACGTTTAGAATCGCCAGAGTGGCGATACTTTCTGGGTTGGAGTCACGAAACTTAACATAGAATGGGAGGGTATTAGAAAGTATTTGCATGTGCATTTTCGTGTTTGTTCCACCAGTAGTTTCCGGAAGACAAAGTCGGAGGCATTACTTCTGGGGCGACCCTGGTAATGGTTAAATTCCTTGTGCGCATTTTTCAAATGAAGTCCAAGTATCAAAATGGAGTGACGTGCCTCAGATTCCACCAGTAACCATACGTTGTCACACTTTAATATTCGAAACAAACGGAGCAGTCAAGAAATGCCTATTTCATGCTTCCAGAGATTTCTGAATAGATCAGATAACAGATGAACAAGGCATTGGAGCCTACTGGCCTAAATCAGGGAAAATGTCGGACACCCATCTCTAATGAACTACGTCTGGTCTGCTTTTGTCAGTTTGGATAATTACTCCACCCAGCATCAGCATACCAACAAATCTTAACCATTTTATTCTTTTTGGCTGCTAGAGTACCAGGCTGACAATTTCTGTGTTCATCATAAACCGGGAGTAATTTGAATCAGGCCTTGATTATTCCCTAAAGCTTCTTTCAAGCCTCAAATCTGTGTGCAACACGCGTGACAGTACATGCACTGTCACAGGGGTCACGAATCTGTACAGAAAGTCCATTGCTCACAATTTAAAGTTTCCCTCATATGGTTGAAAAAGTTCAAAATATGCAGTGCCAAGATTCTGGAGTAACACAGCATTCAACAAATCGATGGAACTGGAAGAAATTGTTGCTGACGGAACAATCTTGTGATTGTTTTCCTACTGCTATATTTCATTAACCTGCGGAACTCTTCTGTACTTGAACTGAAACTAATTGTAGGCATACGGAACTGCTCCGTCGTCGATCTTAGTGTATAATACCTGAAACAGTACATGTTTCTCGCTAGAGGTAAGCACCAGTGCAAATCCATGGCTCATAGAAATTCACAGAAAAATTTATTACCGCTGTCCGAATGTACACCTTCGTGTAAACGAATGTAGTAATTTATGTCTAAGCCAATGGGTTAACTCAATCGAATCTGTTTATCATCCCAGATAAAACGATAACGCCCATCAAAGGGCGTTACATAAATGGTGTATTGCATGAAATTCCATCGAATTGGCCAAAAAATTATAAGATAGAACCATGTGGAGGTTCAAAAAATGTGGATTTTTCAAGTGCTTGTGAACCTTGAAATGTATTCACTATTATTCAAATGCAAATATTGTCTAGGCATAAGAGGATGCCTGAAACTGGCATCCTTGACTGACAATCTAAGCCTTCAAAGAGATTTCAAGTATACCAAAAGTCTTAATTTTTTTCATGGAATCTCCCCATGGCAGCAGAGGATGGCACATTTGTTTTGACTGTCGTAAACATAAGCGTAAGGCTTCATAGGTTCATCCTGAAAAGAAAAAAAAAGTAGCGAAAGTGATGAGGCATCACCGGCCGCGACGTCTTTCACATGATTAGCAAATTCCTGTACCATCCACACACATTAGTACTTCGGGAACAATAATGCGCATTGAATAGTTCCATGGATTTATGTAGGATATTCCAATGGAGTGATTTTTCGTATTCTTGTGCGGGGGTGGGGATCTCAGTCAGAATGGGGAGATATAAACCACTGAACCCTCCAACCTCCATCCTTACCATTTGCATCCCTGATAAGGCTCTGCCATAACATGAAGGGAGTGTATACCGATATTTGGAAACATCCAAATATTCGATTTGCGAATGGTGCGGGCTGCTGCTCCTGCCCTCGACCCCTGAAAAAGTTTCCTACGAAGCCGTCCATAATGCGAGAACGGGTCTCCCTTTTTATGAGCGGGAGAAAGTTTCCCTCCAGAGGGAGTAAGTGCATCCATCTGGAGGGCGAGTGATTCATCCGATGACGCCGCTGCGATAAGGCGACGAATCCCCAGCCCCACGTATAATATGAGAAGTACCAGTACGAATGGGATCGATGAAGGCCTCCTTCGCGTGAGGGTGTGGTCGTGGTGAAAGCGGGGGATTTTACGACCACCCAGACCCTGCTGCTGGACATCGCCAGGACCCACATTATACATACACTGACGAGGTCTCCCTTTCCCTGTAGACATTGATCAAACGAGAAAGGGTCTTTTTCGCGTTTGCCCTTCCTCTCTCTCTCGATGAGATTCAATCCATTAAAATAATGACAAAAGGGGAGTGGGCAAGGGGGATCTCTCTTGGGAAACAAGGAAACGCTCTCGCCTCTGATGAAAACCCCATTCTCCCCATATCACCCGGCATTCGAAGAGGAAGGAATGAGAGAGTTATAACCCGATATACTGGTCCCTGCATTCATTTCATCGCTGAGACAGTCTGACGTAATCCTGGCATCCAATTATAACTCCTTCCTTCTCACACCTCACTTCTTTCCTATGGGGATTCCATCCCATACTAAATGTTGAAGGCAGTTAATTCGATAGGCAGTGGCATAGCTATTCTCATGCGCGCGAGAGCCAATGGCTTGGACGGAAGTACGAATAAACAACGAGAGGGGCACAGCGAGAGCGAGAGACCTCGTACAGAACCATTTCATCATCAAATTTGAGTCTATTCATCTATCCGGATGAAAACCCCTTTCCCCTCCTTCCTCAACCCCGTCATTCCTTCCTTTTCATAGAAATAAATAATGGCCAAAGGCCATTCTCTGCACGCCTAAGGGCACTCCTGCGACATACAAATATTTAAGCAAAAGGAGAAAAATACTATTTAAAAAAAAACTCACTTTGATGGAGTCGTAGCAGGCGATGACGCGTCCGTTCTGGATTTCCACGTGTGGCGGCGGATGGGCGTACTTGCATTCGGAATCCGCCCGAGTACACCGACTTCTCTGGAACTCCCGACACACTTCCAACTGAAGCCAGCGGGAATCCTTCGCCGTCAGCAACGTGTTCAAGTTCAACATGACTAGTTTCTCTCTAACAAAATCCAACACGACGGATATCTCTCGTTCTCTGGAAACCGGGTTCACTATATCTCTTCTGTTTCACACTTTGTCTTCTTTCACCGGGAAGGTTAATCGAAACGATCCAGGGTAGGCACCATAGAGGGAGAAAAAGTCACTCAGGAATGAAAGGCAAATGCGCCAGATCAGGGTTCTCGTTAGGCCTCATCGTCCTTACGGCAGGCCTAGTCCTCGATCCATGACTAGTAAGGGAGGGGAAACTCTAGCCAAGACAGAGCAAGGCTAGCTACATCTAGAAACAGACAGAAAAATGTAGTCACTCTGGAGTCTCGCCCTCAGCACGTCGTCAGGCCTGCGTCAACAAACTCGAAACCAAAGCTGGGACCCACAAGGGTTAGACATAGGCCTCGATAAGATAACGTGGAGCCAGAGGAAGTCCGGCGTTATCGACAGTCGGTCCCCTTGTATTTACTGCCAGGCCAGGGCATACAAAATCCCATGGTCCCTGGTGGAGTGAGGGAGAGGGGGAAGGAAGACGGAGAGAGCAGCCACATGTTGAAGCTGACGTCAGTCATTAATCAGACTGGGATAGGCGGGAGAGAATGTATGTGTGTGAGTGTAGGACACAGGGAGAGTGAGAGCGCGAGTATGCGTGCGATGGCTGATGCCTGACTGGGCTTCCTGACCCAATTTTTATGAGCCCGAAGTTGATGACGGGGGATGGGGAGGAGGATGATAATAAAACGGCAGGGAGGGATAGAAGAGAGATGCCTGCACGAACTTCATTGCCAGGGAGTGAGGGCAGGAGTCCCTGTCATTGTTGAAATGGCCTGGGATGGGCGGAGTGAGGCGAGGCGACTCTGAGGCGCGCTCGATATCCCCCTATCCCTCTCCCCATGAAAATGCGACACTGGATTATTATTAGACACGACCCAGTCCCCCTCACCCAGACACACAGTCAGTCCTTCAGTCCTTGCGGCGGGAGTGTAAACAGTCAGTCTCGCTCAAGGACACCCCCTCCAGAGCGATAAGAAAGAGAGGCTTGGTCCCGATCCAGCCGCAGGCGATCCAGGGCTTTCGACTTAGACAAACGGGAAGTGCGTGTATGGATGAATATGCCCCTAGGCGGATCCAGTCATTCCTTTTCCGTTACGTCATCGTCATGAAGGGGGGGATAGAGAGAAAAAATCTGTTCACCTTTGACCCCCCGCGTGTCGCGCATACACAATCGTTCACTTCATCTTCCACTCCTTTTTCTTCTTTCCCTGATGCGTCATCCCCTGAGTACCCTACAAGGAAGGCTGCGGAAAATGCTTTCTTTACCAATACAAGCTCTTCCACGACAGCTCCTCCAAAGAAATAGGTAGCACACACTTCCTACACCGTTACTCCTCCTTCCCTATGAGGACGTCTGTGCTCAAACCTGTTCATGTACCAGTAGCACATCACTTCCCGACTGATAAAATGCGAGTCTCGACAACTGGACGAAGTATCAAAGGGTATTACTTTCAAGGAAGGAGGGAGAAAATGTTGTATTAAAATATAAGGATGAGCTTGAGGTAAATGTCTCTGAAAAAACAAAAGCTCGACGTCAAAATAGTCGACTGTCAAAAAGGAAAAATATGCTAACAAGGATGTGATGAAATTTTCATAAGTGAACAGACGCCAGAAATGAAAATCTCCAGGAACAAAAGATACGACTATGCAAGTTTCCACAAAAACTTTAGCGAGTAACATTCCTTTACCAAATTCACAACTCCAAAACTCAAGTTCACAGCCACATATCAGCTCCAAAATTCCAAATGTCATGGTACAGCACTTTTTGATGCATAAAAATACTTGTTTGGAAATATGATGCTACTTCTCGTTCTTACGGCGACATTCTGCCCTGTCCACACGGAGCAAGAACTACCAACCGATTCTGCCAATTAAGGTATAAAAGGAATCTTCTTTTTTGGAGGAGCCTTTTAGTATACTAAGTTTCTAGTGCTGGCAGCACTGAAAAGTAATCCCACAGAAGTATGAACACATTAAAGTAAAGTAAGTATATTTTGACTTGTCCAAAGAGTGTAAAACATAGAGCTTAGGTGCTCAATTGAACAGCAATTGAAAAAATCTCTGTGAGTACCAATTGATGAATCACTCCCTTAGAATCACCAGGTCCAAGTATGGAGTTCCCAGGACTGTCAGAAGGCCAACCAAAAAGTAGTTTCACTTAGGTACTGAACCAATCAAGCAAATAATTTCAATAAGACTATTCCTAGTACAAGGAATGTTTGAAGCCACAGGCTGCTACTACAAGTACATATGAAAAATTATGAAGAATGATGAAAAAGAAATGGAATGGGTTTTATATATATAGGGAGATCAGCCTTTAATGTTATCATTCTTTCCCTTTGGGTGCTAAAGAAAACTTGCAGCAAACATCACAAAGTGAGAATTGCATCTGAACCAATGGAGTACCACATATGTACTATCTTCTTTCCATCAATGCACCTGCTCAGCCAACTGTTCTCGGCATTCTGGTTGTTGGTGGTCTATTATGATGTTCTTCTAGTCATTGGTGGTCTGCACACCAAGATGTTCAGAAAATCCAAGTCCTAAGATTCTCTGATTACATTTTTTAACCGATCCACATCAAAGAACATACTGGTATGCATCGTCCCATGTCCTTCTGCCTAGTCTACAACCCAGAAAGGGATAGGCTTTTAGGCCTCATGCATCAGGCTAAGGTAGCATATTCTAGGCCAGACAGGCCAAAAAGTCACTTGATGTGGGTAGATTAAATTTTTTCCGGAGACCTGACTCAAATTAACCTCTCTCAACACCTTCTATGACGACACCACACCCCTGATGATTCCAGGAAAGGGATGATTTCCACCTGCTACAGGGAAAGGGTTAATCTCTTAGACTTCAGAGTGCCAGATATAGATATGTTGTCAGGGAAATGACTGGCATCAATAAATTTTGAGAACTCGGACCTATTCTCCTTCCTCATGAAGATTACATAGTGATTGGGAAAATTTGCCCCCTATCATTCAGAATGAGGTTGTATCAAGAACATTGATTGTGTCCGATAAGTGGGCTGCGTACAGCACTTGAAGCCAGTATGGATATCAGCACTAAACTGTGAACTACCAGACAAACTTTGTTGATCATCACAGGTGCCAATCCTCAGATTATTGCATGCCTGTGGTGGTGTTAAAAATTAGGAAAATGCATGACATTTTCATGCCATACATGCTTTCATGACATCAGAAGGAAATTTGGTGGTGCTCAATGAACCAAGGCACCAATACTTCCTTTAGTTACTTGAGAGACATATTCACTGAGTGTTTAATTGTGGGTTGGAATTACATCATTATGCATTGACAAGTTAGTCAGGTTCTTTGTGTCCCAGTACTTTGAAGGGTTATGCCAATGTGTTGTGTAGACCACCAACAACCAGAATGCAGTTTTCCTTGCATAGAATAGGAGAACATATGGCTTAATGTTACTTATTTTCGAATTATTGCAGAGGAATTAAAAGAAAAAATAATTGGATTTTTTAACTCGAAACTCAAACAATTCCATCCCATATGAATGCAATTAAAATAAGCATATGTCTTAGGGTTATAAAGAGAGGGGGACAATTAAAGAGTTTAGGCAAAATATCAACTGAGAATGTCCTTTTAGAAGTTATTTCAAATTTGCTGCTGATGGATGCCACTCAAGTCAGGTAAGCCTAGCTAGCCAAAATAAAATATGATTTCAAGCTATAAAGAAAAAAATTCCATGCAACCAAGACAATGAATGTTTAAAATTTTCACTTGATAAATTTTCCATGACTGGAAACTGCACCTTTCATCTTCGTTCACTTTGTTCTATGTTCAATGTTTTTGGTGCAGCAGTTTCATGGTTGGTGATATCTAATAACTATGCTATCAAAATGAAATATGGATACAGAAAACACATTTTTACAGCAATATCTTTGCAAGCTCTGTCATTAGCCTATTGACATCTGAATTGTGATGGGGTGGTAAACTGGCCCAAAGTCAGATAGTCTCAGTGAAAAGGAAGCCCCCTGCAGCTGCATGTATGACTGCTTTGAAGATTTGAACAATTAAACCAGAACTTATTCTGAAGTACCTCTGAGTTATTCCCACTGTACCATCCTAAGTTGCAGAAAATCAAATTGGTACTTCCAGTCATGATAGTTTTTGAACATATTCTATGATTTTATTCACTTTCTAAAGTCTATCTTTTCCAGAAGTTTTTAGTTTTTTCTGAGGTTGATACTTCACAAATCTTCCCATGATTTGCCTATATGGATCACTTGCACAATTGTGGTCAGCAAGTACAGTTGCTAATTTTGGGAACATTCAGCCACTCTATGTGCAGGCTCTGGTGAATAGGATTACCTGTAATATTCTGGTGTTCAAGCTCTTGGCCAGGCTGCTTCCTCATGGAACTGAGAAAGTGAACGTCAATTATTAGCAGTGGGGACACCCTCACTCACACGTCACCCTGCTTGTTAGACTTCCCTTTATCTTGGAGATTATTTGTATTCACTATAGGTTTCATCCTTCATCATTGAGCATTACATTCATACCTTAAATTAGTAAGCTAGACAGAGACAAGCAAATGGGAGAAGTGGGAGCTCAGTGCTGTGGCTTTCACTGTAACTTGAATGTGTCCACTGTTAACCCAATTTTTGGTCATTTGGAGAAATCTAAAACATGAACATTGGATGGCTATTCTGGAAGAGTCCATGGAAGTTTGAAATGGTCCAAAAAGGTATGGAATGCAATACAAAATTTTCAGATGTAAATAGCAAATTCAATTTCTTAATAAGAGTCATCTTGATCCTGATAACAGACACAAAGAGATGAAGTGGAGAAATAAAACAGATATAGGCCTCAGAAGGTAATTTTTTGTTACCCATCCCTTCTTGTGGTTGAGGACTACTGGCTACTTTTAAATTTGTTTCTTGCATAATAGCAATGGCTAACTAGGCCTGATTTGCATTATATCTTTCTTGCCACTAAGTCTGAAAACTTCAAAGGGTTTTTAATTGAGTACATGTTGCATGACTTATGATTTTCTCTTCTTCTCATTGCCTTGAGTGCCAGAAATAGAAACCTTCCAGCAGATATAAATAAAGGGATATTCTCATTTTTAATTAACTTCAGCCTATATTTATACATTAATGGTGCATTCATATTGCATGAACACAGGGCAGCAAGGATGCTATTAATTCTTTACTGTAACTACAAACAACGCCAGCCATAAACAATCATATATACGAGTCCTGCTCTATGTTACATTGCTACCAGTGC